AATTATGCTATTAATAATATGAAAATATATATTCCTGTTATAAAATGACAATTAATAACCAATTTGCATTTTACTAAGATTTTATAGTTGAGCATAATTTAGGCATATATCAACAACGTATTTTGACCTGAAATAAAGATGTGTTGTCTCCATGTGACAAAATCCTATACATTTGTTAACGGTCCTGACTGTATACCATTGACATAGACGAGTTATATAATAGCTGACAGATAATATAAAACTAATTGACTAATGAGACAATTCTTCCATAGGACAATGATTTATCATCTGCTTGGTAGACAGCATTGAAGGAAGGAAGGAAGGAAGGAAGGAAGGAATGAAGGAAGGAAGGAAGGAAGAAAGGAAGGAAGGAAGGAAGGAAGGAAGGAAGGAAGGAAGGAAGGAAGTATTCAATAATTTGCTGCGATCAAATCAAACAAAATGCCAGGTTTAATAAGCATAATCATGCATTTATTTATTTAGGAAATAGATATCAATTCTGAGTGCATTGTTGTAGAATAATGCACGGTTTGAGTTCAAATGCGTAGTAATATAATCACGAAGGCCGATAGGCCTGAGTGATTAATTACAAAGCATTTGAACGAAAAACGTGCATTATTATACAATAATGTACGAAGAATTAATATCTATTTCCATTCTAACACGTCAAGAAAAATATAATTATTATTATAAAGTTGGACTTTATGTTTGGTGGTTTAATTTGTTTTCGCCTGAGAGTTTCCCATAGAAAAGTTCTTTAAAGGCTGTTCCAGTGTGTTGAAAAAAAAACTGTCGTTAAATCTACCGCTGTGTAGAAACATTTTGAGAATAACGAATTTTGAAAACGTTGATAAAACTTTGTTTGTTTATTTTATTTCACTCTATAATTTTCAAGCGAAATACAAATTATTAAAAGTGAAATAAATGTAAAAACTTAACTCGTTTGCGACATTAAAATAGCGTACTTGATTTGATTGTTTTGCACGTGCTGTTTGGCGCTACATTGTGACGTCACGTAAACAAAACTTTAAACGTCTGTACAGCGTTAACGACTGAATTAAAGATATTGGTGTTCGAATTCATTTCCTTAGTAAGACTTTTTTCTTTAATTCTAGATAGCTTTCACAACAAAATTCGACAAAAAATGTTTTTATTTATCAGATTTTTTAAACAAAATGGCGCCCTCAATGTGAAAATACACAGGGAGGTAATAAGAACGGCGAGTGCATTGTTGTAGAATAATGCACGCTTCGGGCCTTCTTTGTTTATATAGAAAAAAATCCGATAGTGTTAGAATGTTTCATAACATACATCACTGCGTGTGAGCGATGTGCGCGCACGTATGCGCGCAGCGGCGTACATTGGCTAATTTTCAGGTCTTTGAGATACTTATATCAAATATAGCTGTGTGATATAGCCTGGGATTTAGAGGCATCTAAGCGATGTAATGTCATTTAATTGAACTACTATTGTCTTTATCTATTGTTATGAAAATAACATCAAGTAAATGGATTGAATGAAAGAGAAATTACACGAGGTCTAACGTGTACATTGTTTTAAATATTTAAAAAGTGACTTATTAATTAGAAAAACAAAACATATTCAGGTGTCTCTTTTGTAATCAAGATGAGCATTATTATTTTTTTTAACAAGTGTTTTGTCTTTGTTATTTTGTTTTGTTTTGTCATAATTTAACATGACTTGAGATGTAATCAAGGAAAATATTCGTTAAAGTGATCTGTATGACGATTATACAAACACAACAGCTTAAATATTTTAGTGTAACAATAAGTTATCGTATTCACAGCTAAAATGTAGTATTGCGATATCATTTAGGTCTTTTAAAATATTTTAATTATGTTAAAGAAAATAATTGTTGTCTTAAACCGCTTATAACGCACATAAAACATGTTGCTAGTTTATAAAGACTTGCAAACTCGTTTGAAAATAAATCAATTGGGATACTACGTGTCTTATTATGCTATATATTGTTTTCGTTGTATTTTCATGTTAAATATATATATATATCAATGAACCTGCATATATTTAGGAAATAGATATCAATTCTGAGTGCATTGTTGTAGAATAATGCACGGTTTGAGTTCAAATGCGTAGTAATATAATCACGAAGGCCGATAGGCCTGAGTGATTAATTACAAAGCATTTGAACGAAAAACGTGCATTATTATACAATAATGCACGAAGAATTGATATCTATTTCCATTCTAATACGTCAAGAAAAAATATAATTTTTATTATAACGTTGGACTTTATGTTTGGTGGTTGAATTTGTTTTCGCCTCAGAGTTTCCAATAGAAACGTTCTTTAGAGGCCGTTCCAGTGGGTTGAAAAAAAACTGTTAAATCTACCGTTTGTAGAAACATTTTGAAAATAACGAATTTTGAAAACGTTGATACAACTTTGTTTGTTTATTTATTTCAGTTTATAATTTTCCAAGCGAAATACAAATTATTAAAAGTGAAATAAATGTAAAACTAAACTCGTTTGCGACATTAAATAGCGAATTGATTTGATTGTTTTGCACGTGCTGTTTTGGCGCTACATTGTGACGTCACGTAAACAACACTTTAAACGTATGTACAGCGTTAACGACTGAATTAAAGATATTGGTGTTCGGATTAATTTTCTTAGTTAGACCATTTTCTTTCATTCTAGATAGTTTTCACAACAAAATTCGAAAAAAATTGTTTTAATTTATCAGATTTTTTAAACAAAATGGCGCCTTCAATGTGAAAATACACAGGGAGATAATAAGAACGGCGAGTGCATTGTTGTAGAATAATGCACGCTTCCGGCCTTCTTTGTCTATATAGAAAAAATTCCGATAGTGTTAGAATGAAGAATATATGACATTATTTGCAGAAATTTGCATTTTTGTTCTGTACTGAATAAAATAAGACAGTAGAAATAACTTTCTATAGTGATGTATTTTGTAAATATTCTTTTTTACAGTCAAGTACACAAAAACTGAGTATGGTTTATAATAAATGTTCGCTACAAAACTCTGATTCGTGGGGTCCAAATTATTCTACGCAATTTGAAATAAATACAAGATTCATGAATGAATGGTACCGATGAATTCCATATGGTCAACTCTCTTTTATTGTGCAACAAACACCAAGTCGCAGACAAGACATACTTTTGCATATAAATGTACAAAAATAAAAAAAAAATGTTTAGTTTCATTCTGCCGGAAAGATGTTTGCAATCAATTGGATATTTTCTTAACATAATTTGAGTTTTGACAAAGCATTATTAAATCTGAAAAAAAGAGAAACTGACAAAAAAGGTTTTTATCATATAGTTATAGTCATCCTCGATAGAAACCGCACAGGGTGGTGTACATTCAAATGAAACTTTCTTAAAAACTTTGATTCAAGACTGAAACAACGATAGAATAATTATCTTTTTGAAATGGCACCCCATGTGTGTGTGCGTGTGCGTGCGTGTGTGTGTGTGTGTGTGTGTGTGTGTGTGTGTGCGTGCGCGTGTGCGTGCGTGGGTGTGTGTGTGTGTAAGCGTTGGTGCGTGTGTGTGCGTTTGTGCGTCAAATATAGAAAGTGTTAATTTCAAGCGTATGGTTAGATGATGCCAATTTATTTTATTGTGTTGAAATCTATAAGGTTATATAAACACTCGAATCCTTTCCTGGAACCAACCTGAACTACGCAATGAGTGTAAAGTGTCTTGACCCTGACGGGATTTGAATCCGACGCGTTAACCGCTCGGCCATGCCGCCACTCACATGAACCGTATAGTTACATAAAGGATATTTGTTTAGTTCAGTGTAAGATCGGAATATACTTCACCGAGTATCAACGCAGCCACGAGTGAAATATGAACTTTTGGTGTTCACAAGGTTAAATATATTTTGATCTTACTGTAAACAAAACAATTTTTTTATTGTATGCAAAATAACGTTAAAAAAAGACGTTTAACCTTATGCTAAATGAAAAGTGCGCCAAATAATAATACAACGTGACGTCATTTACGACATCACATTAGTAAGTTGGTTTCCAGTTCTGTGCACGCTGGTATTTCACTGAAACAACGTAACGGACTTAAATTCAAAACAGTGGAAATTATCAAATTGATAATTTCTCTGTTTCAAACAGCGAAAATTACAGTTTTTTTATTTTACTGATATATTTCTATACTGTAAACTACCGAAAAGCATGTAATAAAAATTTATATGTGAGGTTTAAAGAGTAACGTTTGCTAAACGCCTTTGAATTTTTTTTCAATGTCTCTTAACTATCATGTTTCTAGACCGACGTGTTAACCCCTTAACCAAGCTGCCACTCACATGAAGCATTATCTAATTTCATGCTTTCCAGTGTTTTACTATAATATATCAGATGATTTAATCTGATAAACTACTAGTGAAATTTATAAAGTATAATTTTCACTGTAGCCGGACTATATCTGAATGCGGATGAAAAGAATATCATAACTAAATGGAATAACAGGCAACATTTAATGCCGTCATACGTAAATTTTGCTTCTTTTAGAAAAGAAAGTGGTTGTCATCAACATCTTGTTAAAAATGTAACAAAATAAGAGAACTTTTAACAGAACTATTTTTCAAAATTGATGATGTGACGTCATGATGTGATGACGTCAACAAGGAGAATGCACGACGTTACGCGGCAAAATCAGTTAAATATATTTAAAATCACTTTAAAAGCATGAAATAAAAAGAATTTTTTTTTGTTTTACATATAAGATTGAAATATATTTCATTCGTGAACACCAGCTATGATATTTTCACGAGTGGCATAGCCACTCGTGAAAATATTGCATCTGGTGGTCACTCAGTGAAATATATTTCAATCTTATATGCAAAACAAACAGATATCCTTTATGTTACAAATTATTTGTGAGGTTTTAAAAGTGTTAATTGCTCAAAACCGTTGAAATCTGTTTAATGTCTCCTGAACATCATGAACAACCCATAACAATCTAAAGAGAAAAGTAGTTTGTCCTCGTTAGATTTTTGTTACTATATCACCAGCAATTATAAGAGTTTAAGTCACTTGATGTGATATTACTCTTGAACAACTTAGTGCATGCAAATATCTGCCCACGGGTTTTACAAAATAATATGTTGTTGAAATATTATTCCGTCGTGATACTGTGTATTTCCGTCGTCAACGGAGAAGCTGGAGAACCGAAATGTTTTTCGAGGTTTGACTACGACGAGAAAATGTTAATGAAACAGTTAAGATTTGAAGACAAAGTACAGAAATTCGAGGATTTTATAAACGGATTAAAGGCGCGAGAAGAAAAAGAGAAAGAAGAACGTTCTAAGTTGTTTGCCGCAGAGTTAGAGAAATACAAACAAGAGAATGCGGAAGAAGTTGAACGGCAGAAAATTGTTACGTCAGAAATGCTCGAAAGTGTGGCGAATTCTAAGATGGAGCTTGAAAACGTTCATAAACGGATAGATGAGAAAATGAAAGGTCAGTTTCACATCAAATATTACAGAAATTCATATCACATTATTCTTGTAAATAAGTGATATTGTCTTAATATATTAAATTGTCTAGCTTACAAATCCTACAAAAGCAAATGCTGAAAAAAAGATTTTTTAATAATAGATACATCAATGTCAACAATATTCTGAAGAAGATTATTGTTTAAACTTGGATGAAACGCATGAATTTATTTTACGAGCTAATATTATGTAATATTTTCTTTTTGTATGTAAGTTATTAAAATTGCCTTTAATTGCCACTGAAAGGTAGAATTGTAAATAAATAACACTCCTTATATGTCCCTGTATGTTACACACGAGGGGACAGTAAACATGTTTCCAAGCTTCTCGGAGGATCAGCATAATACAATAGAGAAAAACAGAATCTCTAAAGAACGCACTTAATGACCAAATTAAAAATGGTGCTGGCTCGGTTTGATTGAGTCTGTAAATAAACGGCACTGAGAAATGCAAGTTACAGTCCATGCCCCCCCCCCCCCCCCCTAGCAACGGCTAAAGCAATATCCAGCATTTAAACGTGAAAATCTGTCTATAGTCTGTAATCAAACATGGGAAATAAATGCATTTTTAACAAGATTCAATATTAAAAAGGGAACTTTAGTGTTATAAGGCGTCCGGCCCTATATACGAGGGCTGTTCAAAAAGTTCGTGGACTGCGACTCGTACATGCACCAATTTTCAATATGGTTCCCTTAATGTTGTTATATCACGTGTACTTATCAATATTTATCACGTGTAATTATAAATACATAAAATCATGCATTTTTTTTCCGTCAATTTGAATTTATCAACTGAATTAATAATAATTGCAAATATGATTGTATATTTGACATAATTATAAAGGAAAGATGGAACTCACTGTATATTATCATGGCAAGTTGTGCACAAATTTTCTTCTTTTTTCGATTCTTTTGTGTTTGCCTATTTTAGGCCTTATTTATTGTTGGAATAGCGACAATTACAAAACGCTTTTAATGTTTAAAAGGTATTTCTATTTAAAGGTATCTTCAACATTTATATGTGATTCCAATTTACCATAGTGAAAACATCGACAAGAATTCGTTACTTTATCATGCATTTTTAGACCAATTTCCTGAGGTATCCAGAAAAAAACGAAACCATACTTAAACAGTACATGTTTTACTTTGGTGACCCAACATATTCGACCTGCTTCGTTTTAATTTGAATAAGGCTGTGTGGGATATCAACATAAAGATAACAAGTGTTAATACATAGTTTATGATGTTTGTCATATACACAATACTGAAGGGCCATCTCCAATATTATACTAAAACCAATAATTTATACACGCCCAACATCTAATTTTCTTTTTGACTGTTGTTTTTGTAGCGACAACAATACAAACAGCCAAAATCTTCTGTCACTGAAGTCCTACAGAATCATTAAGGCCTATGTATATATTATATCCTGCACCAATCCTTTCTTTCCATGCTATCCATCTGATAATCAGCATGAAAATACGGTGTCCTAGAGCTCCTTTTTACATAATTTTAAGTGTTTTATTGAAGAGCTGATTTTCGAGCTAGCTCCATGAATCATATATTCGAATTCAATAGGCTCTTTACACCACTCAAAGCAACCATCTTCAATTGTAAAACGGTGTCTTATTTTGTACATTTGCCCTTTCAAATTCGAAACTAGCCAACTGAAACTGCAGACTGCCTCCTGGTGTATAAACTTTACGTCTGCTTTTAAACTTAAACTTTAATAAACAATTATAAACATAAAACAAATAAAGTAACGTCAAGAAATTAAGCGGAAACGTTAAATGATAACGGCAAACACAGTTTTGGAAAATCATACCGTAAATATAATTCTAAGAATTTAGCATTATCAGTAAAAACTGGCAGTGAATTATTGAAAATTATCATTGGGAGTAAATAAAGTTCATATGTTAATTATACAGTTTTAAAAAGTGGGAAAATGCTAAGTTTGTTGCCTAAATATGTATGTAAATGTTTCTTGACTTGCAACATTCTGTGTTCTTCTGTGTTTGTTTGCTGCTTATGTGAAGTCATACGTTTACATAATTCACTTTTTGTTTTTTTGTTTAGCCAATATAAAATTACTTACAGTTGGCACAAATAATTATATAATTATATATATCACATGTATTCAAATACAATTCATACTTTGTTAAATTTTTAATGTCTTACTATTATTGTTTATTAAAGTTTCGTCTGAACATATGCTAAGCATGCATTGAAAGCGCTAACTATAATATGTAGTTTGTCATTTCTTAAACATTATTATTTATCTATATTTATAAATGATTTGTGTTTTAAGAAATCGCTCTCCAAATTGTTTCATTGTATCAGTTTTTAAATCTTCCTATTCTGTTGTATTTTAGGAAATGTTGTGGCATTCACGGTGACCTCACCTAAGGCGGGTGCTACATCATACTCTTTGTCATTTGCAAAGGTCATTACAAACGAAGGGAACGGGTTTGATACATCGACTGGCAAGTTTACATGTCCTGTTAGCGGGCTCTACTACTTTTCCTTACACATCATTAAAAAACGGTCATCTAGTGTTGACTATGCCGGATGTTCCATTAAGCTGAACGGATCAAGTAAAGTGACAGCTTACACAAATCCACAGAGCGGTGCAGACTACGGAAATTACGGAGTTTCGACGTCGGTGTATTTAAAATTGAAGGTTGGAGATGTGGTGATGTTAGATAGTTGCAGCAGTGGTATATCCACCCGTGTAGAATCACAAACGTCATTCAGTGGTCATTTAGAACAAGAAGTTTATTAACTTATACGTAATATTATGCATGCATGTATTTTTTAGAATTTGTGTAGCAAAAAGCGGTCCGACTTCTTTCTCGCTTGATATTTAAAAGTTCGTATCCAAGTTTTAAATGATAAACACAGGTTATCAGCTATTTTTGAAGAATCTGTTCATTCTTAGAAACAGTGTGTACTTTATTCGATAAGGCTTTAAAGTTGAGATTTTTATAAGAAATTTACCCTTTATAAATTTTGAAATGTTTGATAAAAAAGCTTTATTTTGTTCAATTTTCAAAATATTATTTTTATAGACTGGTTCGAATCTAGTTGTATACCAATATAAGTTTATTTAAATCAAGTGACCCCTGGTTTGTAAAACTATTTTATATTGAGATTACAATGATTACAGAATACATATAATGAAAGCGAGCAAGTATGATTCAGATCATCGTCAAACCAATAATAAACGCTGAGAAACAATTTATTCTGTTTACCTACAATATTTATGTATATTAAATTACTTAGACATTCTTTGTAACAAATCTTACAAGAAACGGCCATAAGGTGATTAAAATAACATTTACTGTTTATAAATGTATATCATACACTTTGTACAAGCTGATCCATTATCAAGTAAACTGATCCGTGAGACACGTTCATCTATTGTGTTAATGTTTGAAATGGGAAAAATACAAAATGCGGTACAAAATATATTTCAAGAATGTACAAATTTAATACCTAAATGTCTCTAAGTACGGTACTGTTGTTTGGAAAAGCAAATAGACATTTACGGTATTAAATTGTCGACAGAATTTTTTTGTAGTTTCAAAAAATTAGGACGGTGTTATTTATATTTAACTAGTTTGTTTGGCATACTATTGTTACAGTAGTGTCGTAAATTTGTACATTATTGTATATATGTTTGATATTTATGTATTCTTGTAATGCTTTTCATTCCATGGAGGAATAAAAAAAATAAACAGAGCATTTGTTTTCTTAGTTTACTTGACCAAAGCAATGTGACTGTTGTCCCCACTCGAATGACTTATATTAAAAAAAACAGCAGTTAAAGCGACGTAATAGCAGTTCCAGTGTCAAGATAATTTGAGAATGGCATCGATGAAAGGGAGATAAATAGAGGATATTTGTTTAGTTCAGTGTAAGATCGGAATATATTTCACCGAGTGAGCACCAAAAGGTATATTTCACGAGTGGCGCAGCCACGAGTGAGATATGAACTTTTGGTGTTCACAAGGTGAAATATATTTCAATCTTACACTAAACTAAACAAATTTTCTTTTTATTACATGCAAAGAAACGTTTTAAAAAGACAATAAATCTAATAATTAATGAAAAGCGCGCCAAATAATAATGCAACGTGACGTCATTTACGACGTCACGTCATTAAGTTGGTACCCAGTACTGTGCACGCTGCTATTTCACTGAAACAACGTAAGGGGCTTAAATTCAAAACAGTGAAATTATCAAAGTGGTAATTTCACTGTTTCAAACAGTGAAATTACCCGTTTTATATCACTGATATATTTCTATAAACCATCGAAAAGCATGTAATAAATATGTTTAATTTCAATGTCTTGAAAATGTATGAGACACACCAATGACTTGAGCAATTCATTCAATGCATTCTTCATTGAGGTATACTACTATACACCAGATCAAGGAGAGCTAGTCTCAATTCAGAAAACGGATCCCAGGTCTAGAAATTTATGATACATATTAAAATGAGTTTCAAGTAATCATAGGGAAACATCTTCATATAGTTCACCGAAATGTGCATCGGTTAGAATGATCTGTCATTTTCCGGTTAAACATATGTTGGTTAAGCTCCAACATATGGACGCCAATGAAGAAGATTTTCAAGAAATTGAACAGTCTTTTTTCTTCTTTTCTCTTTTTTCTTCTTTTTTCTCTTTTTTTCAATTTTATTTTATTTCCATATTTTATTTTTTTATTCATTTCAACTATTATTTTACCGGAAACAAGCACATCATTTTAACAGATGAACATTTCGTTGAACCATATAAAGTTGGTCACCCGTATGAACCGAGTTAGGCTCGAACCAATGATGCCTAGGTTGACAAGCAGACACCTTTAACACTTAGGTCACTTTTCGTGACTGATTCTACAAACTAAATCACGGCCAAAAAGGCAACTTTCACCACAGCTTCAAACTTAATAACTTTCTAAATTATGTTTGACATAATTCTACTGTAATTCCTGTAGTTTACTATATCTGCGTTAACATATCGTGGTGAGTCTATGTGACAAACACTTTCAATATGTAACGTTAGCAGATTTTTCATAATCAACTGAGAAAGCTTTATCCGTATCACTTTTATTAACAAAATCCGTATTTACATGTCCATTTTTACTTTGGGATTTAAGGTAACAACAAGTATATATTCAAGTTTTATGTCTACGGATTTTATTTATTTTATCTTCTTTTTTGTAATGATTGGCTTTTACGTCGCAACAACACAGTGTATGCCGACATTCTAGCATTGGTTAGGGGAGAAGACCTCAAGTGCCCTTCTATGCATTATTCAAGGCAGGAATGGGCGGCACCTGAGCAGAACCAAACACGTTCCGTAAACTAGCTAGTTCATATGACAGAATCCAAAGTCACTGCCGAAACTCGAACCACTGACGCCCACTACTATTTAGATTAATTTAAAAGATAAATCAGCATACACCTAGAATTGATAACTCTATTACGGTATAAAATTCTATACAAGTTTCGATTATTTCCCTTTCCAGGTGCCTAAGAGATACAGAAAAATATAACAGTGATGGTTGTTTATATTTTCTAATTTATTTAGCATTCGACAAACCGTAAAGTAAATATAACATAATGATTATATGAATTAGTTCTTATAGCTTTCTTACAATGTATTCTATAATTCGATCAATGTACATCAAAATATACATTTGTACTTCAAAATAATTCTTTACGTCAAGTCACAGGGTGGTTGATCACGTGATTTTAGTTTACGATAACTTTCGGTCACCTCTTATAGCCGCACACCCAAGACTTAAAAGTTTTTTTTTCCCCGCTAATTTTTCATTATAGATTTCATTATTTGAATAAAGAAAAAATGCCATGTCCAAGGAACGTGTTTGCCAATTCAAACTTTCCATTGTAGACCATTTACCGCTTTACTTGAAGACATGTTCCTTTGCAGTATACGTAATTATTTTTTTTTTTGAAATTATGTGGTTACATTGTGTCACAATTTCTTCAAATATGTCGGGAAAAGTGCAATATCTACATTAAAGAATGTGAAATTGGCATTGGCAAATATTTGTCTAGAACAATGTATATGTTTATTATTCAAATATTAAAATATGTTACGAGAAATTAGCAAATACCTTCGAGTGCGGCCATTTGCGGTGCCACAATGTTACAGAAAACATGTATCAAGTGATCACCCAACCTGAAGTTTTATTATAATATTAAGATCAGGCTTTTATTGTTGGCCACCTTACAGTATCATCCACTGGTTCATATATGAAATGAAGAGGAAAGAAAAAGTTAAGTTTCCAATGGGGTGCAAACACTGACATTAATTTATCTATTTTGCCCCTCGTATCAGTAATATAAATGTCGAAATCAATTTCGAAAGAAGTTTTACCTGTGCTTATACCGGCAACTATTATTTTTAGAGATGTGTTTGCAATCAGTAAAAATAGTAACAGTAGCCATCCGAGCACTATGCAACATGCATATATCCAATCAATGTATCCGAATACTGCACGAGTAACTGCTATTGGGCAAATCAAGTCGAAGTAACTGGTGTATGGAAGAATATCGTAGTAATAAAATGGCAGAGAGTGTACGCTTGCAAATAAAGGACCCATGAGAGCCAAAAATACGAACACAGTAAAATGTCTGAGATTTCTACCCCCAATACACACCCCTGGTGGTCTCGCTTCATTACACACTTGTCACATATTGGACAATGATGACATCTTGGTGGGCGGGGTCTGTTACACTGTAAACACGGGGCCCACGAGAAATATGGGTATTGAGTCCTCTCGGTCGGCTCCGTGTGGGTTCTGGGTACTTTAGTGGCGACATACATGAAGGTGTCTTGTGAGTCATTAACTTCCATGTTGAGAGACGTTGCGTCTTTTCGAGATCGCATGGTGCTGTCATTTGGGTTATTGTTAACAGTGTGGCATATTTTCTGTCCAATTGATATCCCGTCCGGAATAATACCGCCACGTGACGGCTTATAACTTGTATCAACGTATTTTCTACACAACCAATTCACAGTTAATTGAAAAACAATAAAGAATCCAAATAATCGTAAGCACAAAATAGCATTGTCACTATAGTTACTATACAGATATTGTTTCGCAAATATTATTCCTACACTCGCGATCCCTGTCAAGCCTGTCAGGAATATAGCTTGAGTCAAGTAGTCAAATATTCGCAGGTTGAAGTTTTGTACTATAGGCGTTAGCATTTCTAAAATCTCCCACTTTGTTCGACTCAATGAGTTATTGAACTTGACAGTATCGTTGCTCTGCATCTTTGAACCCTGAATGAATGAATAAATGTCACAGTTTACTAACACCCTAAATAAACATTAGGACTAAGATATATGAATTGAAAATGCGAGATAAAATGATAAATGAGAGATATCTGTCAAGAGAAATGGGAAAAAAATCAATTCCAATGAAAAAAAAAACTGACTCGCAATTTGCACAATATTTCACCTTTTCGAATATTAATCAAATAAAAATAAAGCTTTTTTTTACTTTTCTTACTTTCTATTGTGTCATTTTCTAAACAGGTGTGTATGTACATGTATATACACCAGGTTGGTCGTCATTGTTTAATATTGAAATAGAGCTGTCCTCCATACAAAGAATATCGATGCATCATTGATATTTTTCGGTCGATTAATAATCAATACACATTTGAAAAATTGATAATTTTGACTAATTACTTAAATTTCTAAAAGATACGACAATTTTCATAACACATACACAGAAGTAGATGTCTTTGTAAAAAAAGATGCAATCATTAGGTATTGCACAAACTTCAAAGAAGTGATGACAAAACTGGTAGGAAACATCATGCAATATGGCCTTATTATTTATAAAAAAGACACATATGAAAAGAACATGTATTATACTGAAATCATTTCAAGTGAATAAAATTAATATATTAATTATCGATATATTGGTGTAGTGTTGATATTTTGTAATCCGATATTGATATATTGTCAATATGCTTTGCAATTAATCAATGACAGCTCTACATTGAAATACAAGGAAGTATTTGCAAGGACGAGCGTTGACGCACGTGCATATTTCCAGTAATTACCTAGTTTTGTCACAGTCGTTTTAAGTAATTAATTTAATACAACAGAATAGAACATGTTTAACATTTTTTAACTTTAATCAAAATGTTACTTGTTTCCTCTATAGACCATATAGTACATTCTGTTCAATTATAAATTTTACTATGAAAAAGTAATCAATACACCACGTGACCAACTGAAATTTCTATAAATGTGATTCAGAATGTATCGGTAACGTTCTGTTCGGAAAAGGAAGGCAGTCTTTTTATAAAATATGTCGTTATTTTATACTGTATCAACAACATTTTTCAATATCAATTATAGGTCAATCACCATTAAAACAAGCTTTTCAAAAACATGCTAATTCAAGTCAACGTGACAGTGAAAAATGAGCTTAATGTCACTTTAATTACTTCAATTCTTCTGCGGACAAAATGTATCAAACCAGTTACAAAGTTTCAGAAAGAATATACATGTAGTCTTAGCTTTTTAATAATGTTGTTCCTTGAGACAGCAATATTAGATATATTTTGGTATTACATGTATAACTAAGTAAACATGAATGCGTCAACATTCTTGCATAAAAATGCGCACAACGGTATACTGGTATACGTTAACGGGAAGAAAACATGCACTGACTTTTCTCTTGACC